TAATAATAATAATAATAATAATAATAATAATAATAACTTACAAGTAGGTGCAAACAAATTGCAATATTAACAAACAAAAATTTTAATAAATTTAATTTTCTCTAAAAAATATATTAAATTATTCAATTTTAAAAAGTAAATATGTAAAATTTAGAACTTAAGTTTAATTTATAAAATAATATGTGTCTAAAATTGTCCTACAAGAATATACTTGTTGGAAAATATTAAATTTCATAATTCTAAGGTTAAATTATTGGTAAATAGGTGTTATTTTATAAGTTAGATATAAAATTCAGATTTTAAAGTTAATACTTAAAAAAATTAATTTTATTGAACATATTAAATCAATATAAAGAGTGTGTTTCTAAAATTATTTAATAAAAATTAATTTTAGAATATACAAATACTAATCCCAACGCAAATTAACAGTAAAAATATGTTGAATTTCGTTTTTAGCTTTACGTTAAATTAAAACAAAAGAAAATTGGTTGAGTCCAACTGTCCAACGCTCCATTACAGCTATGCTAGGAAAAATATTTTAATTAATTAGTTGAGAAAACGACTAGTTATATTTTTTTTAAAGTACTATTTTAATTAATAGTAGAATTTATTTATATATAAATTTTATATATTATATTTATAAAATATAATAATTTTTTTAAAATTTTTAATAATTAAATTTTTTATTATATTTATTAAAAAAAAAAGAGATTTACTTATATTTAAGTTTCACTTATTATGTTTATATAAAATTTTAATTATTTTATTTTTTATTTTTTAATGATTATGATTTATTATAATTATTTATATAAAAAAGATAATTATTTTTAATAAATGTGAATTATGAATAAATCTTAAAAGTAAAAAGATAAATCATTTTATAGATGTATGATATGTAATACTTATATTTATACATATCTTATATTTAAGTACATCCTTATTTTTTATTAAATATAATTATTTTTTACTTAAGAAATTATAATAAATCTTAATTATTACAAATAAAAAAATAAAAAAATAAAAAAATTAAAATTTTATATAAATAAGTAGAAAAGAGTTATATCAAGATGGATCTCTATTTTTTAATTGAAGTTAAACCGAAATTTGATTAATGGCAGTCCGTCTAGCTCGACGGACTGCATGGAAAACAGTCCCAACTCCCAGCATATTAGGACAAAGCAACTATATTTTTGGGTGAATTCAATTTTGTGCTCCAATTTTTTACAGTCTTACAGAAACCTCTTCAACCTTTATTCCGTTCTAATTATACCCTGATCTCTTAGTTACCCAAAAAAAAAAAAGCTTACTAGTGGTATAGTCTAAGAGCATATAACTTGTTATTGGAATTTAAATACCTAAACAAAATAATAATTGAATTATACCTTAGTTATTAAATTTCATATATATATAAATATTATATATAGTTTTATTTTTGATAATATGTCAAATTGTTATTGACTCGTTATATAATTAAAATAGTATTTTTATTATTAAAAAAACTTTCTCAATTAATAAAATCACATTTTCTTTCGGCCAACATTGCTATTCCTTGTTAAAATTGACGTAAACTTTCATATCTAACTCATTGTTAATGACATTGATTCTTCACAGTTCACACAATTGGATAACATCTAGATTCAACAGGTTTTGGGTGCAATTGAAATAAAATAAAGCTTTGGGTCCTACTGACGGACCAAAATTTATATCAACCTTGTTTTTTGTTTTGTTTTTTTATTTCTTCCAGGGACTAAATTGAACATCACCGATTTCTGAATTCTCCAACTATGCCGTCTCCACCCCTTGGATCAGCATCAGTTTCATTGTAGTACCATCCGTTGGGTTCTTTTCATCATCAGTATTGATTTCTGCTCTTGCAGATCTGACTCTGCAAAGCAAGGTACGCGCCAATTCTTATTTGTTTTTTCATGTTATACGTATTTCCTTCTGATGGGGTTCTTGGGTCTGTTTTCATGGTTTCAATTAATCAATTTTGTTGTTTTTCTTTTCGTTTTTGGTGATGTTTTGTATCAGCACCTTGTTTTTCGATCTGGGTCATTGTGTTTTTCTTGATAAACACAATTTTTGAGCTGTTTCTGCTGCTTGTAGCTCATGGTTGTTCTTTTTTTTTCATGGGTTGTTTGATTCATTTCCATTTTCATTTTTGTTGAGATTTCTGGGAATGCGAGTATGCAATTAACCATTTATGTTCTAGTTGGTTCCCTTTGTAATTTTGATTTTTTTCTCCTTTCCTTTTTAAGTAGGAATATTGCTTTGATTTCTTCTGGAAATGTTAAATTGCAGATTATGTTTGGTAGTTTTTCACTGACATCTTTTTCTTGTGTGCTCATGTAGGACATGGGTGTCATTTCTAGGAAGCTCTTCCCAGCATGCGGGAAAATGTGTGTATGTTGCCCTGCTTTAAGGCCAAGATCTCAACATCCGGTTAAGCGTTACAAGAAACTGCTGTCTGATATATTCCCGAAGTCCCCTGTGAGCATATATTCCTTCCTTGTCAATTATATTTAGTTTGCAACATATCCACTACTTTGAGTGGCATTATGAAATTTAAAGGCTCAAACCACAATGCAGGATGGTCCTCCAAACGACAGGAAAATTGATAAGTTATGTGAATATGCTGCAAAAAACCCTATCCGAATCCCAAAGGTACCAATTATCATCCTTTGTTTCCAGTTGGTTAGTCTTAAAAATATTGAATAGATCTTTGAGGTACTGCTGTTCTGTATTCAGATCGCAAAATATCTTGAAGAAAGATGCTACAAAGAGTTGCGAAATGGGCGAATCAAATTCATCAATATTGTTACAGTTGCTTACAATAAGATGCTCTGCATGTGTAAAGAACAAATGTACGTAGTTGTCCTTTTCTTCTTTGTGCCATTCATTTTGCAGAATGATATGTGGAAGTTGTTAACTGTTTTCATTTTCATATCTTCCAGGGTATATTTTTCTGGCAGTTTGCTGAATGTTGTTAGTGAACTGCTAGATAACTCTAAGCAAGAATCTGTGCAGATACTTGGATGCCAAACCTTGACAAGGTTCATCTATAGTCAGGTAAAATTTACATACTTTTTTTTTTTTTGGATCAGCAAATTACATACTTTCCTCCCATGGTATGTTTCCTTGAATAATAAATCAGTTAATAACCAAAGATAATAGAGAAGAGTTGATAGAACTATTTATATGACTAAACTCATCTTAAAATTTTTAATCGTACTGAATTGTTATTCCTTTTACTAATATTTTGAACTGAACTATAAACAGGTAGATGGAACTTACACTCATGACATAGAAAAATATGTTCATAAAGTGTGTAAGCTGGCTGGCAAGAATGGAGAACATCAAAGGCAATCTTTGAGGGCATCAAGCTTACAGTGCCTTTCTGCCATGGTAATTTTACTTACAAGTTCTTTCAATCAATCTTTCATTTAACCAAATTGAAATATATATTGGCTCTTCAATTTGAATTTGAATTTAATTTGATAACGTCTATTACTTGTAGGTTTGGTTCATGGCTGAATTTTCGTATATTTATGCTGCTTTTAATGAGGTTAGTATATATTTTATGATGCGTTGAGGTGAGACATCTAATGTTTTTGAATTGTTTTCTTGCTGATCTGCAGTTACAAGTTTTGCAATTTTTACCTTTGTTCAAAATTATCATTTGTTGGTTGCTGGGGGTGCTAACTTTTTTATTGGTATGTCCAAACTGCAGATAGTAAATGCTACTTTAGATAACTATGAACTTGATACGCATGCTAGATGTGACAATCCAAGTGCGGAGACACATCATAACTCAGTAGATGAAGTGGTTAAATGTGAGGACAAAGATGCATTGGTCAGCAATGATGCTAGCCCTAGCTACTTGATCACCAGGCCTCGACCAGATAAGAAGGATCCTTCTCTCTTGACAAGGTAGTGATCTTTGAAAGCTATAAAAAGCAAACTTTTTATGAGTTTCATAGTTCTCTAAGGTTGCCTGATGGGTCATAATTTTTTGCCATAGAGAAGAGAATGAGATGCCTAAAATTTGGTCTCAAATTTGCATCCAAAGAATGGTTGAACTGGCCAAGGAGAGTACAACAATGCGCCAGGTGCTGGATCCGATGTTCATCTACTTTGATTCTAGACAGCATTGGAATCCTCGGGAAGGATTGGCAGTGTCAGTTCTGTCTCATATGTCCTACTTGATGGAGAGTTCTGGTATCTTTATCTGTCCTTTCACTTCTGCAAATTCTGTGCACTCCACAGTGCTTGTGGAAACTGGAAACGTCATTATATTTTTGTTTTTCTTGTGGTAGCTTCTAAATACTAATCAGTGTACAAGAATTATGTTTATCTGGTTGCTAATGTTGCTTTTGATTTCAGGAAGTCAGTTGCTGCTTTTAGCTGCAGTAATACGACATCTGGACCACAAAAATACTGTGCATGATCCCAAACTCCAATCACATATTGTACAAGTAGCTGCTGCTTTAGCTAGGCAAATTAGATTACAAGGAGTGCTGGCAGAAATCTCTTTTGTCAGTGACCTCTGCAGGCATCTGAGGAAAAGTTTTCAAGCCACTCTTGAATTAGCAGGAGAGCAACAGTCAAATTTAAATATTATACTTCAGAATTCTATTGAAGATTGCTTACTTGAAATAGCGAAAGGGGTAACTTGGAAGCTTCTTTTTTTTTTTTTTTGGTTAAATGTGACTGGTGGTTTTACTTTGTTATTTCAATTAATTTGAATTTGTGTTTGGTCTTACTAGATTGGTGATCCACGGCCTCTATTTGACATGATGGCAATAACACTGGAGAATCTTTCATCTTCTGGAATTGTTGCTCGGGCAACCATTGGATCACTGATGATTCTTGCTCAAATGATTTCATTAGTATTAGAATCTTCTCATTCACAACAGGTAAGAAGCACCTTATAGCCTGTTTTGTAGATTTTTGGATATCCCTTGCATCCTTTCTTTTTATCTCTTGAAAATAATAATTTTGTATTGTTTGCTGTGCTTCTTGACCTTGTGGAAAGCGATTTGAAGTTATGGCCTGGGTCCCTTGATGCAATTTTCTACCTTGAAGTTTTTCTTGCACCTTATTAAAACATTCTTAAACCTCTCATATAGGTATTCCCAGAAGAACTTCTTGTCCAACTGATGAAGGTGATGCTGCATCCAAATGTGGAGGTCCGTGTTGGGGCACATCAGATATTTTCAGCTCTTCTTATTCCAAATAAATCTCACAAAAGAGTTTCTTCTCTGCTATTTGGTTATTCTTGTGATCCAAGAACATTGCATTTCAACAATGCATCTGCATTTGCATATATACCTGCTCTACTTAAAAAGATCAGGAGGGAAAATGATGGCACCAAAGTGGGAAAGAATGGTTATAATGTCCATGAAGATTTTGGGAGAGACAATGAGGAAGGAGACAAGAGACATGCCCACTTCAGAAAAGATTCTGCTAATTCTTACACATCTAGAGTTGACAGGAAAGGTGGATCAACAATGGCTGAAGGGGTAAGAAAATTTTTTATCTATGTGTTGTTTGGTTCATGGAAAATAATTTTGGCTAGCTTGTAGGTAGCATCACTGATTAATATGTGCATGAGAAATAAATATTTAGAGTTAGATGAAGGATGCTCCTTATCATTTTTGTAAAACAACTGCCCCCTCGCATTTCCAAGACAGCAATTGTTTTCTGGAAAAAGAAAAAGAGTATCCTCTATCCGTATCTTATTACCATGTATACATGAGTTATTTTAGCTACAATTTTCAGGAAGTAATTTTCCACGAACCAAATTATGTCTGTGATAACCTGGTTTCAGTATGCTCTTCTAAGTCTTCAATCCAGTAAATCTGATGTACGGATGTTTGCAGGAACCATATATCATGAAGCGTACAGAGGACCAAATTGTGCAGTTGCTGTCTGGCTTCTGGTTACAGGCCACCCTTCCTGACAATTTACCTTCAAATTTTGAAGCTATCTCTCACTCTTTTGTGCTAACACTTATTTCTTTGTGGACGAAGGTGAAGTTTTGAATGAATGAGATGCCATTAAACTCACTTATATTTAATCATTTTTCCTTCTGAATTTACTTTTGGGCATTTATCAGACAATCATCCTGAGTTTTCAATTGAATGGGGATTCTCTAGATATCCCAAAAAGTTGAATTTAAATGTTGAGTACAAATGATTTAGAAGGCTAGGCAGTACCAGACATGATGTTCAAAAACAGACCTTATTTGGTTATTCACACATTGTCAGCATTGTTTTGCTTTTGTAGTTATTCTGTTATAAAGGGTAATACTTCTTAAAGTGGGTGGCATGTTAAGGGTTGATGTTCTTAGGTTAACATTTTACCAAGAAGAAGCAAATTAAAATTATGGTCTCTAAATTAATGGATGTCTGTCTTCTTTCTTTAGTGTGTATCTTACAAATCCTAATTTCTGATCCTGCAGAACCTTGATGGCAACCTGATTGTCTGCCTCTTCCAGCTTCTCTTGTCTCTGAGGAATGTATCCTTGGACCTTAACAATGGTATGCTAATTACTCTAACAGGCTTTGAACTTTTGATAGAAAGATGCACAAGTTCTTCCTTTCACCTTTTTCCATTTTTTAGGGGCACTACCTCCAGTATGCCAGAGATCAATTCTTGTACTGTCTATGGGCATGTTGATGTTTGCCGCTAAAATATATCATATTTCTGATTTGATTGATCTGCTTAAGTCTTTGATGCCACTTGATGTGAGTTCCTTTTGAAATATTCAACTAATTAATATGTTAAAGTTGCTACTTTTAATGATATATATTACTGTGCTTTTGATTTAATCAGCTTAATCTTCGTCTGGTCCCGTCTATATTCAGGTTGATCCTTTTCTGGGCATTAGTGATGATCTTCAAGTATTTGTAAGGCCTGATGCAGATTTGAGAGGATATGGATCTGCTACAGATAATAAAATGGCATCTTCTTTGCTCTTCGAGTTACGGGATAAAATATCTGAATCCAGTGAGGCTGTGATGGATATCTTGGTTCAGAAGCTATCTACCATTACTGAGGTAAGACATTCATATTTTTGGTTGTGTATATATGTGGTTTTTACTTTTTTAAGCTATGGAAATATCTATCATTATTGAAGTTATATTTTTAATTAATGTTAATATGGATATCTCTTCTCCTCCTCCTCCTCTCTCTCTCTCTCTCTCTCACGCATGTCTTTTGTGGTTTTTAAGCTAGAGGAAGCCATTCTCAGAAAGCAATTATTTGAACCATTCACACCTGATGATGCATTGATGTTTGGCCCACAATCCATGCTTGACTTGGAACGCAATCAAATTATTTCCTATTCTAAGGAATCACTTTCATTTGATGAGGTATGCCCTCTTAGTTAGTAATGGTGTTGTGTGTTTGGTAACTAATGGAAGCTTCTCAATTTTAGCTTGTTTTTATAGTTTAACCAAGGAATAGCCATTACCATCAACCAAACAAGGCCTCAATAGATGACCTGGTGGAGCTTTTCGTCATATGAGTACCACCTGTGACATCAAAGAACTTGTTATATATATATATATATATATATATATTTTTCTTCTTTTCCTTAAAACCTGTCTAGAGTTGACCATCAAATAAACCTAAATAGTCTCTAAAGACCTATCTAGTGCTTAAAATTGATACCATCATATGTATAAATTACACCCACAGATACACATGAACACATGCATGCACACTCACTCCCTACACTCAATTGGCACATGACTCTCTGATTATCCAGGGCTTCCCATGGCCAGTATCTTATTACATGCAAAAGTAGGATAATTATTGTAATTTTATTGTAATTTTATGTCCAGTAATTTTCAAAGCAACATGGCATAATGGTTACTGCTTATGTTTCAGGATATTCTAGCTAGCTCGTTAGTGGAGGATGATGTGAAAAGTGAAGCATCTGTTGCTGACCTCTCCCGCTTCATTCCCAAAATTCCTCCATCACCTTCTATCTCTCATGTTATTAGCATTGGACAACTTCTAGAATCGGTAATCTCTTCTCCACCCTTGCTCTGTGCCCCACCTTATCTTTTCATATCTGCATCCATTAATGTGGTAAGATTAGATATTGTTCTTGCTGTTAAACTCAAATAATGTGTTCTAAGGCACTCGAGGTAGCTGGTCAAGTTGCAACAACACCTGTCTCTTCATCAGGACTTCCATATAATACCATGGCTAGCCAATGTGAAGCTCTCGGCACAGGGACAAGGAAGAAGCTCTCCAATTGGTTGACCCCTGAAACTCCTCACAAAAGTAGTGCGGATGATAGACTTCTACCAGAAGTTCCAGCAGATGAATGCATAGAAATTAGAAGGGTAAATAATAAACTTCATTAAAATTGCCTTTGGTTAACTTTCATTCCAAAATGGCTTGATATCACTCAGAAATGGGAGCTAGACTGACACTGACTAAAGCATGTGTCTTTTCATAACTCTTGTTGCCTATCATAACTGTGATCAATACTTTTAGTCAGTAATTTTAAATATTTAGGAGCGATCCATAATTTTTAATTCAAAAACTTCAGTATCTGAAATCTTGAACAAACTAAACAAATATCATGCAGATAACAAGCAATGGTTTGTCTACTAAAGGAGCTTTGGTGCCAGCAGAGCAATGCTGTGCTATCAGGTTGCCTCCTTCTAGCCCTTTCGACAACTTCCTCAAGGCAGCTGGGTGTTAGAAGAGCAGGAGTCTAAGAAATCTTTGTTGTTTGTGTTGTAAAGCATTAGCTGGTGTATATCTTTCTTTTTCTCATATATATTGTTTATTTTTTTCACAGAAAAGATTAAAATCGAAATTGCCTCAATATATATAAAGGTGATGAAGAATCTATATATTCAAATATTCTTTCCAAATTATTGTATAAAAGAAGGGTTGGTTTGTTGTGTATGACACCATCAAAACGTATGCTGCGCCTTTTTTTGTCTTCTCCTGAAAAGCATGGCTGTTGAGTTAGATCACTGGATTGCTCTGCGTACTGTCTAATCTTTATGTCTGTTGGAGATGAAAATCGTACCCCAAATCTGAAGGGTAGGCTTAAATCTATGTCTAGATGGGTAGAGAACATGCATCTCATTCATTCTATTTGGGTATGGTGACTAGTCACCCCTATCTCCCTAGTTTGATTCAGGCAGGTGATTCATGCTATATAGATCTAGAAGTTCTGAAAATTTTATCTTCTCATCAAACTTTCTCCCTAGAATCGATGTCGATAAGGTAAGAAGCAAACACGCTTGGCGACCATGTTATTCTTGTATGCGTTTTGCATGTAGAATGAATATTGGGCGTCAAAATGAGCCTTCAATGAAAAGATCATTTCCCATTGTGTTGTCTACATCACGTAAAACTCTGGTATACCTTTTCTGAGGCAATGCACTTTCAAATGGTCGTTATTCACCTGGTTTCATTTACACGAATTAAGACATGCTACCCTAACATTTTTTATCATTTTGTGTTGTCACGACCCTCTAAAAGCATTTAACATTGACATTACCACATGAAAGGTTCTTGAAGGACAAGTTGGGTTTTGATAAATTTGATGATTTTGAAAGCAACCCATAAGAAAGTAAGCATCCATTGTCTTTAAACGAGGAAGAAAACAGAAGTTCATCAAAATGATGGGGTTGAAAAGTGTGTGATCATAAATTCATGATATCTTTTTCTCTCTCTCTCTCCTAATTTGGGTTTAGAGTTATACATTGCAGCAAAAGCAGACTCCACAAAAATGGCTTTGTTTGGATTCCATGAGTGAAAGGTCAGGCTCTTTTTTTACGATCCTACAATCACGGTCTAATTCTCCCCCCTCATTCGTGAGTTTTATTCATTGCTTTGAACGTGGGGTGGGAACCACCCAATAGCATTCTTGTGTTAGTTCTTAATTAAGTAATTGGTCTTCCCATTTACCTAACGACATTCTTCATATCATTTACAGTGACATTTAAGAAATTTATGGAGAATGGTATCTTATTAACCTTTTTCGACTTTTGATTATCTTTATGGTACTTTGAAATGCGTGCAAATGGAGGAACTTAAACGTGATTTTCGGACTTCAGGACATCCTTTTAATCAAAAGTGATTAGACTAAGTTCTCATTTTGGACATTTATCAATCCCTTCGTTGCTACGCTAGTGATGATTAGGAAGGAAAAAATAAAAAAAGAAGCATATAATTGAGTGAGAAGACTGAAGAGTGCATTATCTTATAATTTAAATTATATTAAATTATAAAACATTAATTACTAAATGAAAATGCTTGCATCCATTATCTGAAAATCTTCGTCATCCAATGAACCTGTTTTTTTTGAGTTAAATATAAATGGGGGTGGGGGACGGGGGAATCAAATTATGCTTTGGTAAAAGGTCCACATTATTATTATATATATCCTAAAAGGTGGGGGATGCCTCATGATTTTTTCAATTGGCTTTGGTGTAATGCAATCATCAATTAAATTATTTATTTTGAAACTAATCTTGTTTGTTTAAAGTCCAGCATTTAGGATCGAGTCAAGGATTTGGCTCAATAGCCTTTGCACTTTCTAGATACCATAATTTACTTCTATATCATATTTTGTCATATATTAGTAAAACATATTTCTTTAATGATAAAGAGACAAGTTAAAATATTATAATATGAATTTTTTGAATGTTCGTATAAATTAAAAAAATTTCTATTGATAAATAAATAAAAAGCATGATATATCTCTTGCTTAATTGTGAAACAACATCTTGTCAAAATTTCTTCTCTAATTCAATCTGTTACTAACTTCATAGCTAGGGAGAAATTGATGTTAATTTGGTGACACTTAAAAAGCACCATTCAATAATAGTAGAATTTGTACTTGAAGGTTATCTTCTACTGTTTTTTATGAAAAATATTATCTTCTGTAACTGTTAATCATTGAACAACTCATAGTATAAAGTAATTGGTTGGGGACACCCCAAGGGACAATAATTTATCATGGGGGGCTTTGATGAATTTTCCAAACATCATAACATGAGCCAAAAGGCTTTGTTAGGCATCTAATGTGCCAGGGTCCTAATGTCTCATTTGCTTATCATCAACAATAAAAAGAGAATAAAAAAGACAACTGCGAGGGAGTTATTAAATCTACTTGCTATACATGGTTACATACTGGGTCCTTCTCCCTGATCCAACTTGGACCCAGCACTATGATGCTAAAAGACAGAAAAAGTACTGAAATGAAGCAAAATAGAAATTGAAGGAGCAAAATAACTGAAAAGGCAAACTAAACTAATAATACCAGAAACCCTAAGAAAAAAAAATGAGGAGCCCCCCTAACCACTGAACTGTCTTCCAGATGATGAAGCCCTGGCCTGCCATTCGCTTTTCCCTTCTTGCCCATTACGTACATGCGAACAGGGGCAGACCTAGATTCATGACCAGCCCAAATCCTAAGTTTTATAAAACTAAAAATGAAAAAGGCATGCGATAAAAGTAGCACGATAAAAAGGAAACTAGTGTTGTACAGTTAATAATATTTTGTACTGTATAATATTAATAATTAAATAAAAAAATAGATTTTATAATATTAAAGGTTTTTTATTTAATAATATTTATAATATGATATAATTTAATATAATTTAAATGATAAAACATGACATTTTAAAAAAATAAAAAAGTTCTACTTTAAATCTCTTTGTAGAGGCAAAACATTAAAAGATATAAAATTAGATTACTCTTTAGTCTTCACAAAGCAAATTTTTTATACAATTTTTATATAATTTTTATGTATTATTAAATGATGAGATATATATAATATTATAAGTTAAAATTAAGTCAAAAAATTAATAATTAAATAACATATAAAATTATATAAAAAAATTATACAAAAAATTATCTTTCAATAGTGACATAGCCAAAATTTAAAGGTAGATGAGCACAACTATAAATTACTAAAAATTTTCTTGCAAGTCAAATGGGTTGTTTAACATCAATAATTTCTCTTATTAAGACAATCTATAAATTACAAATAGAAAATATTCTTTTTTTTTTTTTTATTAGGGCAAGTGGTTTGGAGGATGGGTTGGGGAAGAAAATCGAACCCTTACCATTACCATGATAAAGAAGGCTTATATTAAATTGTTAAGCCATTAAGTCAACAGGCATTTTTCAATAGAAAATATTCTTAAAACAATGAAAAAACCAAGAATACAACAATGATAAAATATAAACACATATCAAAAATACCCAAATCTTAAAATTCAAGAAAAAAATCATAAACCAAAAAAAGAAATGCTTCATCAATTAATTAAAACAAATTATTAAGGCTAAAACTTTTTTTAAAAAAAGTAATTTGTGCAAATAAATTAATTTACAAATTGAAATAAAATAAAACAAAACATGTTAAATATACAATTATAGCTATATTTATATTGTATGAGACTAATATACGAAAAGATATAAACCTTAAACATAAGGCTAAAATATTTGTTGAAAAAGTTAACAAATAGTCATAAAATATGTATAAAACAAGACAAAAAAATGATTAGCATAAACTCACCTCAATTTAAAATTAACAATAATCAATAATTAAATAACAATCTCAAAAGAAATTAAAGATCTATTGTTATAAAAGATATTAAAACAGCAAGGTTATATTTTAAGCTAGTAAAAGAAAGAGCGTGAATTTAGACAATAAATTATGATAATAATTAACTTTAAATTTACTTTTCTTTTTTATTAAAAAATTTTATGTATATACTTTAATTTTATTTTATAATTAAACTTTTAAAAATAATTTCAATATTTTAGGGAGCCTAGCCCCTCTAGGCCCTCTAACTCCGCCAGTGTCTCTGAATCATTTTCCAAGTCTCACCTGCATCTGCCCCTACATGCGAGCCCTTACCCTCTAAGTGCCCCCACCGCTCCGGCAACCGCCTACCCTTTTAGAGCACATGTCCATGCCCGCAGCCTCCTTATGCCCGTCGGCTTCTTTAGCGTCTCTTCTTACGCCCTGCTTGCGTCAGTTTTGAAACATATCCGACCCACCTCCTCTGAAAATGGGTAGAAATAGCAAAACACATCCCCACCAATTGCAAAGAGTCACCTGCACTAACTCCCTAATTAATTTTTCCTTTTCTTACACGGTTAAGAGTTTATGGATAACACTTGCACCTTCGGATTCAGTGCTAATAAAATTAGGTTAAAGTGTATTTTTTTTAGACAAAGATTCAAATTCAACTCTTGAAAACATGTTAAAAAAAAAAAAAAAGAGTTTCTGAGTAAATTTATACATTCCTTGAAACCTTGTCAC